CTCACTGCTGCCCCGAGCCCCTCCATAAGCCACCGCTGTGGCTCTGTGCTTGCCCCAGTGACAAGCAATAGCTGGGGCTCGTAGCCCTCTCCATGGTGGTTAGGCTTGGGGCCATGCTGCTGTTCCCCACGGCTTGTGCTTGGGAGGCTGAGGTGGAAGACGCCCCTGAAACCAGCTCATCACCCCTCACAGCCCTGGCAGTCCCTGCACGCCGGGCTCCAGATGGCGGTGGTGCCTGTGCCCCGCTCACACCTCCGCCTCCCGCTGGCAGCCGAGGCACTGGAGCGTGGGGCATCACTGAAGCAAGGCCCTGCCCAAGCACTGCGTGGTGACCAGGGACATCCGAGGCTTTTGCCTCCTCGTGCTTGTGGCAACGAGGGCACGGGGCTGCCGGGGGGACACCGCTGCCCTGGTGGTGCGTGCCAGCTCTGGGCCCGGTTGCATCTGCGCTGCTGACACCCTGCAGCACCTTCAGCGTCCCCAGGAGCTGGGGAGTCCTGGGTCAGGTCTGGTTTGGAATGCTGCAACGGGTGGAAAAAACCGAGCTGGTTGGTGCCGTTAGGGAGCTCAAGGGGAAACGGGATAACCTCTGTTTGCCAGCCTGGGCAGCAAGCTGCCACTTATTCTGAGGTTTGATTTTCCTGCCTCTGATTCAGCTCTACGCTGCTGGCAAAGGCTTTCACCTTGCCGTCTGTTTGGCCCTGGCTTTGCCCTTGAGCCGTGGCAGGAGCTGAGCCTTTGGCGGGCGGCACCGTTTGCTGGAACAAGGTTGCGCTGTCGGGTTTCCTCTGGGCTTGTGCCTGCCTTTCTACCTGTCCCCTGCTAATATCGGCTGAGCTTATCAGCCATCTTCAGCCCAACCTGACTGAAGGAGGTGATGGGCAAGATAAGAAGCACCCATAACTGGGAGCAGGGTGTCAGGAAGGAGACGGTGTTTGTGCCCTGTGAGGGTCTCCAGTGGATTTGAAGGTGCAAACCCTCCGGGACGGTGGGGTCACTGGCTTTGCTGTTCCCATGTTGCTCAGCACAGCCCTGATGCATTTACCTCGACCCCCAGCAGGTGCCCGCAACCTTTGCTTCGTGCCAGTAGGAATGCTGCTCTGAAGCAGGAGGTGGGCGAGCAGGACCCGTGTCCACCCACCCATGCTCCAGGGCTGGACCCCGCGGGTGCAGCACTCTGGTCCCTGCACCCAAGGGTGTGTGTCTCCTGCCACGAGCAGGAGGTCCTTCACCTGCAGCAGCACAGCTCTCCCCTCTCCCTCTCTGCCAGCGCAGCACCAGGCGCTTGGCACATCCTGGAGGCCTCAGCAAAGATCACCAGCGCCCCTGCAAACCAGCAGGCCGAGGGGAGCTGGCTCTTGGCCGTGGCCTTTGCTGTCACAAACCCTCCCTTAACAGCCCTCTCATCTGCCGTTTTGTCTTTTGCACAGATGCAGCACCCAGAGATTAGGCTGCAGCTTAAGGTTTTACTGAATCCTGAAATGGGTTCCAATTCCCAGTCCCAGCAGGACCAGCGTAGAGCCGAATCACCTCTGAAAGCTTGCTGGGCTGGAGCTGGGGAGGGGCGTCTCCCACCATGTTCTCCCATATGCATGAAAGATGGAGCCCTGATACCTGGGGTGCTTTGTTGAGAGGCAACTGCCAGGTAAGAGCAGTTTTATCCTGGGAAGGAAAGTCTGGGAGAGACAGAAGGAACTGGAGCTGTTTCAGGAGTGGCTTTAGATGAGAGAGGAATAAGCCGTAGCTGATCTCACTTCACTCGGGATTGCCCTGGGGGCAGAAGGTCTCAGCAGAGAGCACAATTCCAGGCCAGGAGAGTGACACCAGCCTCTGAAGGCCAGAAAATAGTGTCCTACAGGGCTCGCAGGGCTCACGGATGTCCCTGGAGCCTGGCCACATCAGCCCTGTGTGAGGGGAACGCTGTGTCCAGGTGTTCACTGACCGTGGGCTTCCTATTGCCTGGAGCCCGAGCAGGTCCTAGGGGCCTTTTGAATTCCAGAGGCTTCAAACGGTGGTTAAGGAGCTGGGTTATAGGCTCTCTGTGCCTGGGTGTGCCCGAGGGGCTGAACAGCACTGCCAGGTCTCCTCGGGTGGCTGTGAAGCCCTTGGCTCTGCGGGCTTCTCGTGGCTGAGCTGCTGGTGGCCCGTGGTAGCTGACTGCAGGGTGAGGGTTTCCCAGGCTGCTGCCTTTCCAACAGAAACTGTGGTCATCCAAGCTTTCACCCAGCTGTTCAAAATCGTACTCCCAGGTTTTTCTTCTTCCACTCAGAGGGGAATACTGGGTGGTGTCGCTGCGCTTCTGAGGAGGGCCCAGTGAGCTGCCTGTGGAGCAAACAAGGCTGAAGCAGCCCGGTCACGTCGGAGCCCTCGGAGCTGCCCTTGGAGGCAGCGCAGGCAGGCTTCCCTTAAACCGGGCTCCCCGCAGCACGTGC